GTGCACGGCTTGCCCCGATTTCGCCACCCGGCATCCAGGACGGCGGCTGCGAATGGGAGGGGAGGGCAAGGCGAAAGCTTTTGTAACTTTTGTACCCGCGTCCTTTTTGTCTTTTCCCCCCCGAAGGCAGCCGGCCAAACTGGCAAAACAAATCGCTGCGTGTTTACTAAGGAAGTGAACGCCGTCCTGTTGTGGCAGGCCGTTTACTCCCCAATCACTAGGCGTTGCTTTAGAGCCTCGGCTGGTAATTTCTAAGGCAGCCTTCCCCAGATCTGTGTTGGTGGTGACTCTGGCTTAGCAATGCTGGGAGTAACTTAAAAGCCTTAAACACTACGCATGATTTTCAGGCTGAGGAAGGCTGCTCTAAGAAGAAACTTGGCTTAAGTTAGCTTACAAAGCACCTTACAATGTTTGCAAAAAGTCTTACACCCAAAATATAAAAAGTCGTACACCCAAAAGATGTGCCTGAATGCGCGGTGAATAGTGCTTTCTTTACAGGTTCTTAAAAGGCACCCTTAGAATTGACATAAAGAATGTGGGGTGGCTTGGCCCAGAGACGGAGATCCAGGGTTGAGCCTTAGTAAGCAGCTCATCTTGTCTCCAGCAGGCAGCTTAAACTCTTGCCCGGGAAAAGCTGCAGAAGTGGACTGTGAAATTAAGGGTGACCGGGGCCAGTTTTAGCTGACCCGGGTTGGGACGAGATCATGACTCTTTCCTCTCCCCGACCTCAAAGACGCCACCTTCCCTAACCAAAGACATATCCCTCCCACTCTGCCCTTCGGGAGATCGAAACAGGAGAGTTTCGCGGCGATTCTGAATTTGAAGGCGAGCGCTTTCAGGATGACGGGCGCATCCTGGGAATGGGAATCGGCGCTTCTCGCATCCTTCACTCTACCCGCAAACTTTTATGTTCCCGCACACGCGCGCCTCGCGCCGTCTGGTTTACGGGGCAGTGACTAATGCCAGATATCCTATCCATTCTTTCTCTTTGTTGGGGAGGTGGGAGCCGTCGCTGCTAAGAGGTAGTCAGCTGTCAACAAACCTCTCTGCTTAGACCAATCCTAACCAGTGGTCCGTTGCCAACGGAAATTTTACAGCCTTGCAGCCGATGAACTTTCTTAACAGTTTTTGGAAATGGGGAACCCTTTGGCTACCGTTCAATAAAATACTAGACGGCAGGTCTCGAAAAACTTAACTGTCTCTGATCTGATTGATCCTTGGAATAGGAGACTACCAGGAAATCTCAGAATTATAGCTTAATTTGAGAGGTTAAAAAAAATGATTGCCAAGAAAGCCCAACCAGTTCTGCTCAGAAGACTGTACCCAGACAATGATTTCTACTTCTTAGCATGCATGTGCCTGCCTTCGAAGCTAGCTTTCTCTTACCACCTCACCGTTTAACTTTTGGGATCAAAGGGACGCTCCTTCCCGCTCCAAGTGGATCCCTTGTCTCTTTTACACCGAGCCGAAAGTGGGAGCAGAGACCCTAGAACTTTCTATTTTGACTTTCCAGACAGATTTGCTCTGGATCTAGCAAAGAGGACAGATATGTACGAGACAAGACATGAAATATTTGTTTTTGACTAAGAAGGAATGGAAAAGTAAGGAATGTCTGGAGAGACGGAGAAAGGGATGGACAGAAGCCCATCTTAAAGGGGACTTCTTAGAAGTAACAGGTAAAATCTGTCTGGAGGCAAATTAGACTCCACATGATTTCATGAGCAGATCCAGCCGATTTTCTTGGCAACAATAGGGAGGTGATTAACCATTGCCCTTTAAAAAAAAATTGCCCAGTGGAACTGATAGATGTGGGATTTCATGCTGACCTCTCATCCCGCTATGAACCAGGTTTGTTTCTGCTTTTCAGGATCAGTGAAGGTCCTAGAAGAGAGGACCTCTGGATAGCTTCTCAGAAAAAAGAACGGGAAAAGAAAGTCCAGCCTGGAGGCTCCGTGGAAATGGACCCTGGCCATGTACTCCAGAGAGTCCTCAAGGTAAACGTGATCCTGCCTGGCCAGGGAAGGCGAAAGCGATGCAACTCCCCGAAAACAGAGGCTCTATAATGAAGTCAAAGATGCGACATCTGGGCCACCCCAAACTCCGTGTCGAAAGTTCCATCGGGCAGGGTCAAACTTCAGTTGGTTAATTTAGAGAAAGTTAATCGATCAATCAAGAATAGAAAAGCGTCCTTGTTCCTTAGAAAACATGGAGCATGGGTCTGGCAACCAGGGCTAGCTTTGTTGGGTGTTGAGTCCCATTGAAAGCTCTTGCCACCCGCCGTTAATATTTTTCAAAATTAAAGATCCCAACCTCAGACGATCGCAGGGAATTTATTCGTATGCAACCACTCTTAGCTCTGACTAAATGTAGTTTGGTTTGTGGGGGTGTCGTTCAAATATGAACGGACCATGGGTTAACAGTTTACATGAGAGGACCAACGAAGATGGGTACCCATTATCTTCTTGACGATCGTAATGCTTGACGCTACCCCGCTCCGGATTAATCTGAATGAATGAACCTGCATTCAAATAACTTTTGTAAAGTGAAGAAGTCCTTGGGCAGTTCTTCCGCGAACCCAGAAAGGTTTTTTTCCTCGCTCCAAGGCCTTCTTTGGTTTCCAAGGACATCCTCTCCTCCCTGCCGCCGCCTGTTTGGCCCCGGGAGGGCTGTTCGGGGTTCTCCCTAGAGAGGGCTTAGAGCAGCTTCAGCCTTTTTTTTTTTTTTTTTTGGACTGCTGGATTGCGACCAAGGTCTGTCACGAAACAGCGACCCCCAGCTGTAAAAGGAGAAGTGGACGAACAGGTTTTCCTACTCAGTCCAGATATCGCTTCCAAAATGACTGCAGTTCTAATAGCGAAGGAACGGGAGACACGAACCCCAAGTTTTGCTACGGATGAGGAGAAGGACACAAACAAAGCCAGGCTTCTTCCAACGCGGCCGCCCTCCAGAGGTACCGGAATGCAACTCCCAGAATCCCCCGGTCCCTCTGCTAAGGTTGGAGCACCCGACGCTAACGACTTGCAGCCGCTGGTTGAGATCACGCCTCCCGTAAAGCCCGGAGGTGCAGACTCCAGTTCCTTGAAGGAACCGCCGGAGCCAGGTTTGCAAAACCTTCCACGTGAGCGAGGCGTCATTGTGTCCCGGGGCTTCGTGGATTCTAAAGCCTTCAGAACGGTGCCAGCACCTTGCGTGATGGGATTCTTCCCGATGGAAACGGGGAAAGGAAGAAGAGGCGGAGGAAAGTTTGTGCTGCATCCAGTCCCGATGCCCACCCAAGGGTAGCCCCCTCGGGAAAAACTGCGTGGCTGCTGGACACGCTGTGGCAATCGGAGCCTCAGGCGGCTGACTGCCGTAGCTGGGAGACTTCAGAAAATCCATATCGGGGTGTACCACCCGAAGCTGGCCACTAGGGGTGACTTGATGACGAAGCCCTACATCCAGGAAGTCAGGCTTGGACTGGACGGACACACGCGACCGAAGGAAACCCTTCTTATGCCGGTCTTAGCAAGGCAAGACTCGGGAAACTGCTGACGAAGCCCCGGGAATTTGGAGGAAAAGTGAAAAGCAGAACAAAGCTGCTCCAGCTGGATTTATCAGTTCCGGATTTGAATTTTGCACAGGAACATTTGAAATCCATTTATCTACCAGCATTTGAAAAATCCTCGATTCAAGGCTTCATCATAGCATATTTTCAGTTAAAGTCCACACCAGTAGTGATTTCATTGCCATTTTGGTTTATTCAGTGTTCTTTATTTTGCTACCTACACTATAATCAGCCTTAACAGAATCCAGTTGCTGTTATCAATTTTCAAGCTAAAATTACGCATGAGAAATGAAACAGACAAGGGTGTTAGAATAGGAATATCCTTGTGGCAAGGCGGGACAAATAAATAAAAAATTAAAAAATTATTATTCTAAATAATTTGCACATATGTTAACCCAGGAAAATGTACTGTAAGAAATTGCTCTTGTATAAATAGCAAGATGCAGTTAGAAATTTAACTTCATTACCAATCTCTAGCTTTGTTAAAGTAAAATAAGTCAATTAGATCAGGTCTTCATTAGCTTGACCAAAGTATGGTGAGCTATTCAAAAGGCCTATAAGATAAAGTCTCTAAATGAAACAAGGTGGGTTTCATATTTCATTCCCCTGAACTTTTACACTACATTCCTCCTCAGAAGATTATGTTTCTTTTTTATGGTGTATTTAAACAGTTGCTAATCCCAAGGACAGGCTACAAATACACCACAACATTGATAAGAACAAAGGACTGTAAATATCTTGTGACATTAAAAATGTATTTTAGATCTCATTAAAAATTTCTGATAGTGAAGTATTCTAATTCAATTTTTGTCTACCTTTAAGATTAACGCCATCTGCAAATTGTGACAAAAATAGACTCATAATCTACATAACCAGGGGCAAAATTATTGCTTGAAACTTTTTCCCCACTGTGGAGATTTGGTAGTTCCTCCTGTGCTGCAAAAAGCCCATATAACTTTCTCCAAGGTGTGTGAAAAATTATCAGTTCAGTGCTGAAATTTCACACACCACTACAAAGAAAGGATAAAGGAAACTGCATAGAATGCATCCCAATCCTATTATTGTAGATTTTTGTGGGAGAGGGTGTGTGTGAAGGAATACTCTGAAAAATCCTCTAAGAGAGTTATTGCATCAGTGGCGATACGCTTTAATAATTGCTCAAGATCTTCAGATCTACTGATTGAAGCCTCTAATGTTTTTTTTTCCTCATTTACTACTTCTGAAGCCTATGTCAGCAGGTATTTTTATACTGGCAACATTAAATAGTCTTTAAGCTGAAATTATATACAGAAGTTTGGAAATAAAACCCATACAATACAGCGTGATTTTATTAAACATGTATAAGATTGCACTGTCAGTAAAATATGTATTATAAATGAATTAATATCTTAAGATTTAGGGAAACAAGTTAATAGGGAAAAGGCTATCCAAATGAGGCAGAACAAGCCACAGTCAGTTAAGTTAAAAAAATATTTATTGATACTAAAACAGAGAATTGAAAGTTATACAAAAACTGTCCAGCATAATGTAGTCTAAAAGTTCTTTTAAGCTGGGAAATAAATTAAAGAAACAAAACAAACAGAATAGTAATCTCAAATCTAAACTAGAGTAAGTGGCAAGAAAACGGGGAGATAGACATCACACAACAGAACCAAGCAAGCTACACAGCCAGGGTCAAACAAATAAACCCCAGTGCAGCAGTGAACCCACAGTGAGATCAGTGGACAGACACTGCTGTCAGCCTTATTTAATATTCTGCCTGGAAAGTCTGTCCCACTCAAACAAAGAAGCTAAGCTTTCCCAGGGTAATAACATCCCCAACTTTTGTTCTCTTAGTATAAAAGCAAAGAAGCAGCTCCAGTTAAAGCAATTAGAAAATGTCATACAAGAACTATTTGGCTTTTTTTAAAAATGGAACATACAGTGGTTGACACACATTTCAAGAAACACTGAACCGATTCTTGCGAGTCTCTTGCAAAGGCATTTCGCTGAGCTCGGAGCAGAATAGAGTGAATATTTATTGGAGTAGCAGAAACACTGTAATATAAAGTAACTCTGTTCCCCTTTAGTTTTTGGTACTGCAGTTATTAATGTTAAATCACAAGACTAAACTGAGCACTTTTGCTCAGTGTAAACCGAGTAACTAAGTTACTCCAAAACAAAAATATTTACCTGATTAATGCAGTAACACACCTGTTATAAAAAGTTTTTTAAAATGTAGAATAGTAGCAACAGAACTTTTAAAAGCAGTTTGTTACATAGATAAAACACACACAGAAGAGGCAGAGCAACAAGCCTAAGAAAAACATGTAAGAATAAAAAGGAGCAGTGATCATCATCAAGTTCAGTTGTCTACCCATTATTGATAAAATTGAGTCCTTAACTAGAGAACTCACATGCACCATCTGCTTATACAAGGTTAGTTGTCATTTTGGAATTCAGTTGCATGTGCAATATACAACTAAGGAAGAATATGCCAACTTGTTCATTCAGATAAGCTATTTAGGACTTTAGACTTTGAAACTGAAATAGCTGGTTAACCAAAAGGCACAGCAGCATTTGAGCTTCTGAAGGAGAGCAACATTTCATTTTTCCAAACAAGCTGGAGATGAGAAAGAAGCTCATTTTAAATGGAACTGACTGAAAACCAGAATTAAGGATCTGTAATACAGATTAAAAAAAAAAAACCTCTGAGAGGTTGAAATGGTTCTGAACTCTGAAATGGTTGCACATTATAGATCACAGTCAGAGAAAAAATGACTATAGAAAATAAACAAAATCAGAAGCGACTTGTGAAACAAGACAATATTGCATGTAGGCTAATAGAAGCAGCAATCCTGCAAAGAGCAAAGTAACACAGGTGCATTATGTACGCATACATACGCAGAATAACAAGGACCTGAGAAATTGGACTGGGGACAACAAGGTTTTGTGGGAGGAACATTTCTGAAACCACCGAATTCTTCAAGTCCGTAAGCAATATTTGCCAATGTTTTAATGGAATTTTCTTCCTTGGGAAAAGACAATAGCTTCTACAAGAAAGGGTGCGGTGGGTCTCATAGAAAACTGACTTCATTTAACTGAATTGCTGTATAGCCTCCTCTTCTGACTCTGCTCCAGAATCTTAGTTCTCCACAGAAACATCTACTTTGGCAGAATTATCAAAATATTGTCAACATACACCCAGAATTAAAAGGCACACGATAGAAGTTTAAAAGAGTTTAGTCAAGGACAGCTCCAACAGGAGATGCATAACAAAAAATCTGAGACAGGCAGGCATTCTCATCCTCAGTTCCTCAGATCCTTCACTGATAACATCTAAGTGGGATGCACCAATTGCTGCAAAGAACACAGGCAACGTATCTTTGTCTGGGCATTGCCTGGGCTATCTAAATTTGGCAGATTTTACCAAAGGCATTTAAACGATTGACTAAGGCGACCCTTTCAATATTATACACTGACAGCTTTAAAATAAGTGGACAGAAGCCCCTGGATAATGTTGGGCACTCTAAGGAGATTAGTTGTTGATGTGGGGAGACTTCCAGAAAAAAATAGAAAATGGGAATTGTGTAATCTGACTCAGAGCCATACACAACTAATAGAGTACTGCACTAATTGCAATGGAGAGCAAGTGCAAAAAGAGGGCATCTGATTAAAAGCACTGAATGAGAAAGTCATACAAATCTACGATTCAGAACAAATGCCTTGTTTTCTTACGCTATCTATCAGGATGCTTGTAATATAGCCACTGGATGGTTTCTTTTACATTATAACAAATCATATTCTCACAAGAGATTTTTTCTCCTCTGAACTAAACAAAGAATATTTTTGGAACTAATATGGTGAGCTGGAACAAATATGGTGAGCTGAGACCCCAGGCAGCCCAGGACTCAAACCAGGACGGTTATATGAAAATGCTACCTGAATAACATTGTATTAAGCCTGACGCCTGACCCTTGGAGGCATTCTACCAAGCTGCAGGCCTTTTGGAAAATCCTGGCTCAACTTCTGTCACCTTATTCAGCAGCAGTGCACATCAAGAGGAATAAGCTTAAGGAACTAGAAGCACTGTTTGCAGAAGACTCATTCAGTGCACTATTATAACCCGGCATATCAAATTTAAATTACAGCTCCATGGAAACAAATCTCATGGACTTCCTTGGAATTGTTTTCTATGTGAGTAAACTTTGGTGAAAAAGATAAGCTTCCGTATCAATGTACTCAACAAAATCATATTAGCTAACATAAGCACGAGCAATACTTTATCCCTGATAAATTTGCCATCTTGCCTTTTCTTAGCTTCACAGCTCGTATAGCAGTAGCGGAAAGGTTCAGCAATATAAAAGAGAAACTACAGTATGAGCAAGAAAAGTAGTAGGCTAAGCCAATGCTTCAAATGATTCAAAAGTCTGGAAACCATTTGCTGAGTCACATCACAACACACACACAACAAACTAAACTGTGGTCTTAACATAGAGTTTTGAACAAAACCTTTGCATTGCTTTACCTTGGAATGGGTCTGATAAACAGTGGTCCAACATCATGTACTTTATGACTTTGAAAGCTGCAAAAATACCCATTTCATTAAAATTCCTTATCATCAATTTAAGGATGGGGACTTAGAAGCACACTATTAGAACACAGTCAAATTCTGATAGAGCTTGACTGTCAGTTGACTTGACCGAGCTCAGCACTGCCCAAACTTAGACCATGGCTCTTGACCAACAGGAAACATCTGTTCTGAGAAAATAATAGAAACCTAAACCGAATCATCACTTGACTTCAGAAAGCAGGTAGCCTAAAATAAACATAGCTTCTAGGATGTTTTCACTCAAGTCTATCCTCTCTGGTTTCATTCATTACCTTCCTGATCAAGGTAATGTTAAAGCCATCCCTTGCTGGAAGAATAAAGCAAAGAGAAGTTTCAATCAATTCTGCTCTGTAGTGATGCCCTGTAGGAGAATTTAATTGGGAGATACAGGACATATGTACAGAGATCAAATAAAAGTAAATGGCAGTTTGTATCACAATGTTATCTTGCCATCTGCAATAATTTTTTTGTAGTTACTGCAGGTAAAAATAAGTAGAAAGATATCACCAATAGAAGAGAATATTTGTACCTCAGAGTTAAACTGTGGACTCCTAGATGTTCTCTGAGCTTGGTTGTTTGCTTGTAGATGTTTCATTCTCTGACTACCTAACATCATCAGTGCTAGTAACTCTGGTGTTTGCTCCATGTTTTTATAACAGTACAGTAATATGCCCTGACAGTATTGATGGGGTGTGTGACCCCACACTCAGACGGCTAACACCACACTCAGTAGCACTGATGACATTACCTAGTTTGGTAACGAAATGTCTGCAAGCAAACATCCAAGCTCAAGAGAGCATTTAGGACTACAGAAAGATATCAATTGCATAGAAACCTCAAAAACCTGCTTTCTAGTTCCAAAAATTCTCAACTCAGTTTGAACAGCACACATCAATAGTATTTCATCTCACATTATAAGGCATCTTATGCTTATAAAATCTCAACATCAGCAAAATCTCTAATTTTGCCTCCTTCCCGTTTCTTTTGTGTAAGCAACAGCATGCAAAATGTGTATGCATGTGTGCGTGAACACATTGGGGACCCGCAAGTGGTCTCAACCACATAAGCATATAGCAATTTCTCAGAACACATGGCTTATTTAAGCAATGATTTACACACGTCACATTTTACATGGAATTGGTTTCCATATAGAATTTTCCAATGTGTAAAAATCTCCTGAATTACATATACGTGCATACACTCATGTACACCCAGATATTAAAAATGAGGCAGCATTCTCCTCTGAGTGGCATCTGCTGACATTTGGCAAGTTGAAAAACATATTGTTTTTTCAGGTTCTTGAGAACATTGTTCTGCAGTTCTCCAAGGCTGATTTCCTATATCTGCTGATATATTTGGCAGAATGAAAAGCATACTTTCTTCGCAAGTGTTTGAGATACTAGTTCAAACAGGTTAATTGATACTTCTGAAGTATCTAGAGATTAATGCTCAACCTGGACCAAACTTACTTGATAGCTGTTAGTTCCAGCTCCAAACCAATGCTGTCTCATATATCATACCCTCTAGTTTCCAAAGCAAGTTGGAAGTATGTCTTACATACATTCCCTTAAGACAAACTTTTTATATGGTGCTTGGCAGATATCCTAAATATAGATTTGTTCACAAATTTTCAAACTAATATAATTTGTTCTAGAAGCTGAGAAGTGTTGAAACTTAAGAGAACCTATTCAGGAGAATGAATATATATATATTCATGTATATATATATATATATATATCCTCTGGTCTTTCAAATCATATAGCTAAAGTGTTCAAGTACAGGAAAGCATGGAGTTGTAGTTTTCAATACACTCCTCTGTATTGGCGAGTAACATGAGTAAAGCCAAAACTCTTGAAAAAGAGCCCCTAACCTTATTTCTCTGGTTCTAACTAATGTGGTTTGTTTCTCCTTCTAATATCCAAGGGGACAGTAAAGGGAGAGTCAAATGAGACGGAGGAAGAATGCTCGTCTGCCTTGGAGCTCAATAATGTCTTAGGTTAAAAAAGCCCACACTTGTTGGAGACTCCTTAACAGTTACTGTGATCAAATTAGCTGTCACATCTGTGACAAAAACATGTTCAATAAGATTCCGGGTAGGTTTCCAGTCTTGGCTAGTCTGGATGGAAACAGACGTATTCTGGTCTGCTCCAGGAAAAGAAGCAGAATCTCTGTCAGAATCAGAGCTAGTCTCCTCTTCTCCGGTGCTCCCTTCTGACATGCCTGAAGTCTTGTCTTTTGTGGGACATCCCTCCTGGGCACAGGTGGTATTACTCTTGGTAGCTACATCTCTCTCACTAATAGCTGCTCTTTGTGCCGGTTTCTCACCTTTGCAAGTATCTGCATCTGTTGATGTTGCCCCTGTGTTGGCGATGTTCTGGCCACTCCCAGGTCCGCTGCCCTTGGATGCGCTTGTCTTTGTTGCTAAACTGTTGCCACTGCCTTTGCCAACTGCCCCGCAGCCATGGTGAGAGATATGGCTACTGCTGGCAGAGTTTGGCCCATTCTTCACACTTTGCAGGTTTAAAGCTTGTAGGTTGAGCTCTTGGTTGCAAGATGGCTGACTGCTGGGAGAGCCAGAAGGAACTTTGTTGCCATTGTGCAAGTTCCCCGTCTTTTGTTCCCCCATGGAATTGCCACTCGGTCTCTTGGTCACTTTGGATCCCTGCACAGTCAATTCCAGGTTTCCAGAACCTTTCTGGTTTTTTAGTTTTAAATCCAAACCTAGGCTGTTCTTGCAGGACATAGCTGACTTCAGAGTCAGTCGTCCCACTGCAGAGGCATCTGCGGAGCTCTGGTTCTGTGACATCCTACTCATATAATGGACAATGGAGCTTTGCCAGCTGATACCACAATTTGGGCTTCCAACGGTAGTATTCTTCACTAGGCTGGAGAGGTTATCATTGGAGGATGCTCCAGAACAAAAGCCACCGAAGGCACCTTGTGCTTCCTTCATGTGGGATTTAAGCATGGCAATGCCAGAACTTTGAGCATTGTGTTGTGGCTGCATCTTGCTTGCCAATTTGGACCCCCCTCCCCCTCCCAATTCCTTTCTATTTGTTTTAAGCACCTTGGTTAGGTTGACTGTCCTCTTGGCTGCCTTCTGCTCTAGAGGCAGTGGCTTCCGCCCACGTTTCTTCCTAGCCGAGTCCTTGTTTTCAGGTTTGGCAACTAAAATCTGAGCTTTCTTTTGAGGCACTGGGTGACTCTCCCTGTTCCGTTGACTTCTCTTTGTCTCAAGGTCACTTTCATCCTCTTCCTCAGAAGAGGAAGTCGAAGAGGAGGTGGAGGAGGAAGAGCTGCTGGATTTGCTCTTGGAGGGTGCTTCAGGTTCCTTTAAACACAGGCAAAACAGAACGACAACAACATCAATATGGCCCATTTATTCAATAATCTTGCCGAAGCTTTATTCTCTTAAATAAGATTTACATAATCAATTTTCTGTCTGGATAACAGTTTACTTTTCAAAACCAACAGAATTTGCTTTTGTAATTTGCTTATTATATTTCAATATGTAAAAGTTTCTCATTACAGACTTGTAGCTTCTTAAGTAAAATTAGATGCTGCCAATGATGAATAAATATTGACTCCAAGTGATAGGAATCAAACTTAGACTGTACAAGAGATTACCAGGCACCATAGCAGGTGAAATCCAGCTATCTACAAGCAAGAATGCCCCCGTGACTGTAATTTCAATGGGTCCTATAAATCACCATTACTTACAACATTTTTTCTTGGTCTGCCTCTGGGTCGTTTGCCTCTTTTCCGATTTTGTACCTCTTTTTCATGTTCCCTGGGAAGACAGAAAATTATCCTCTTACTTTTCTTTTTCAGGAGAAGATGCCTTATTTTTGTTTTCAGACAAATTCATTACAAATTTCATAGGAATTTTATGATCCATCCAGACTGAAGTCTTTCTCACTACATAGGAATATGGATTACCAGCAGAACACAAATTTGCTTGTTTCTTATATAAGAGTATGCTGTATCACAAATCACCAGAGTTCAGTTGATAGAATTTGGTCACTGCTATTCCTTCATTACACTTTAATGGATCATTCTGTTGTAGTGAAGACTAGATTCTATTATGCTGAAATATTTTGTCATTCCCTCCAAGTATTTTGTGTTCAGAAATCAATTATTCTGGTTTTACTGCCTTGCAAAGTATATTTCTAATATTAATGGCACAATTTTAAATGTATTAATGATATTACTTCCGCTAGAGAAATTTTTAAAATAAAATACTGACTTTAAAAACCTGACAATGACTTTTGAACCAGCAAAACACTTGACTGTGTTTAATTTTTGTTTATATGCATTTTGTACATTTTCAAAGAACACTGATTTAAGTATACAAACACCTCCAAATAAAAAAAAACATTGTATTACATATCAAATATACACACCATATATACAGAGAGATATTATCAAAAGTAATTGTGATGTTACTTAGATGCAAAACAAAACAAACACATAACCAAAAACTATTAAAAGAATTCAATGTGGAAAATTGCTAAGGAAGTCCAATAATTGCACTGGATTTCAAAAGATGAATGTTTCCAAACAGGAAGATCAAATCTATCCAGAATATTTGGGTTTACTCAAAACCACATTTGAAGCTCAGCTTGCATCTCTACAGCAAGCAATGAAATAAATATACCTAATCCAGTGGTATCGAAGAAATGTTAAAAAGATTGTTGTTGTGAGAAAATGTGAGTTTAACATATGCTTGCATGAGGTAATGTATTCATTGGATTACAAAGAATTATTAGGGAAGGATAAGGACTTATCAGAGACACTTTATGATACTTTTCACCTATCTTTATTACGGAAGTAGATTGGACATACCAGCCAGTAGTTAAATTTTCAAGTTGGGGACCCAGGGAAGAACCATTAGAGAATATTACAGAAATAAAATATGAAAGTACTGATATTCTAACAAAAATATTAAAATATTTTATAGTATCATTATCAGAGATTTCCAAAGTGGTCAAGGCAATATTCATATTAAGAAGAGCTGCAGAAAATAAGGCTAAATAAAATGTAATACCTATTTAGAGTAAATCATTAGAAAAAGTATTTCGAATATTTCGACTTTTAAGTTATTTTGAGAATCTACAGGCAATATTTAGAGGTGCAGTGAGTGATGTGATAGCATGTTATTAATTCTTTGTATGAAGTACACCAGTGGATATAGATGATCCAGCAGATATTGTTCTCTTTCAAAAGATGCTTGATGGAGTCCCTTATGAAGAAAATATATCAGCTGCTAGAGGGACAGAATGGTCCCTCTTTGGTAACCTTTGGAAAAAGAATGCTGACTAGACTGGATAGTTTTAACCTACTAGAACAGGGGCATCAAACTTGTGTCGTCACAGCAACGTCATGTTGATGTTTGACTTTCTCCCCTTTATTAAACCAAGCGTGGGCACTGCCAGCATGTGACACATCTGGCCCACGGGCAATGAGTTTGACAGCCCAATACTAGAGCTTCCTTACATTGTTAAGGCTAAATATCCATGGTGCCTCCTCCAAGAGCAGGTCACAGTGTTTGGGGGCAAAATGTGGATGAGTCAGTATGTATTAGCAGGAATCCCAGAAGCAGGACCCACCATTGCTAGATACACTTAACAAGACAGACACTGGAACCAATCCTGGGATTGGCATGAAGGAGTGTCTTTCTCTAGTACTGCCACCTGTAGGGTTTTTTTTTGATTCCCCAGAGACACCCAATACATTTAACTGCCTTTATACATTCTCAGACTTTTAGCAATTGTCTGGTCTCTTCCAGAACTGCCTTATGCAAACTATTCCAATATGTTTTCCTGGTAAATGGGAATAAATTTATCTTTAAAGTAATACTAGAACTATTTATTTTGATAATGTCAGTCTAATGTCAGTCTATTTACAATCTTTACACCATTCCAATGTAGTTGAGATTCCATTCCATTCCAATTGAGATTTATACGTCTCAGCAAATTCCTATTATCATTAATGGAGATTTGCCCAAGCTGTTCGAGATTCAAAAGGACACCAGGCAAGGATGTCCTTCATCTCCTTTGCTTTTTATTTTAGTCTTGGGGGTTTCAAATAGAGACATCAGAAAAGATTTTTTTTTTAAATTAACTGTAAAGATTAAAAAAAGGAACGTATGAACTGAGAGCTTTTGCTAATGATTTTGTTTTGTTTCTGCAAAACCTCTAAAATAGAATGGAATATTTAATGAAGAAACGGAGTGACTTTGGTGCCTTAGCTGGCTTGAAATTATATAAACAAAAAACAAAAATGTTGGTTAAGAATATGACTGTACAAGATCATGAAATTTTAGTAAGAAAGTCAGGCTTTAAGGTGGAAAAATGTCAAATATCTAGGAATTATATTACTAATACAAATTCTAAATTATTTCAGAGTAATTATGTGATTTACAAACAGTCCTCAAGCAGCATCCTCACGGTCACATGGCATGTATTTTCAATGTTTACACCATTTCACCTCTTACCCAATTAGCCATTTTCTTATATAAAACAATTGAAATACTTTAATAAAACAGATTACTATTCAACCACAACTTACAGGTAACATCTAGGCGATGGGCAGCATACAAATTTAATAAGTACATATGATAAAAAAGTCAGCATTCTTTAAATTGGAAATTAAATGTATTTTTAAAAAATACATGACATTTAATGTATTTAGTTCCTTTTAAATGGTACATACATAAGCCTAAACATTAAAAATGCAGGAAAATGAAATTATTAAAAAAAATAGTGCAGTATTCTATAGCCGCATCCCCAAAATTTATACCCACAGATGTTCTGAGATTGCAATCGGACTAATATGCAACCATCAAACAACACAGAAGAGATGTAGAAATTTTAGCTCTACACTGACTTATTTGGAGTAACATGGTAGAAACAAATCATAGTATGAATACAGACAACCCAACTGATTTACATAAAACACTAGACCATATTATTGCTTCACTATTATTGCTTTTGGGATATTATTACAATGGATAATTTTTTTTTAATGGAAACACAATCCATATTACTTAATGTTAATATACATCAACACATCAACATTATAATTTTGATGTTTATAATAGCTCTCTACATGGGGCTCCCCTTGAGGAGCACCCGGAGGCTCCAGCTGGTCCAGAATGCGGCCACGCGGGTGGTTATGGGAGCGATGTGGCGCTCCCATGTGACCCCCCACCTGCGCGAGCTGCACTGGCTCCCGGTGGTCTTCCGGGTGCGCTTCAAGGTTTTGGTTACCACCTTTAGAGCGCTCCATGGCATCGGACCGGGGTATTTACGAGATCGCCTTCTGCTACCAATAGCCTCTCACCGACCAGTACGCTCCCATAGAGAGGGGTTCCTCAGGGTGCCGTCGGCCAAACAGTGTCGACTGGCGGCCCCCAGGGGGAGAGCCTTCTCTGTGGGGGCACCTACCATCTGGAACGAGCTCCCCCCCGAGATACGGAGGATCCCGGACCTGCGCATGTTTTGTCGTGCTCTCAAAACTTTTTTATTTCAGCAGGCTGGCCTGGCCTAACTCTCCTCTTTTAAATTTTTAATTTGCGATTTTATAAATTGGGTGTTTTAATCTGTGTTTCGGCCAAAATATTTAATAATTTTAACGGATTTTTTAATATTTGTATTATTTGTATTTTATCTTGGCTGTTCACCGCCCTGAGTCCTTCGGGAGTAGGGCGGTATAGAAATTTGATAAATAAATAAATAAATAAATAAATAAATAAATAAAAAAAAATAAATAAATAAATAATTTTGATAATATATTGCTCAAAATATAAATTTTGTTAAGGTGTTGTTGCAAATCTGGTATAGAGTCTTCCTTCTAACATTGTATGTATTAATCACTTATCCCAGAAATCCATAATTATTATTACTTGTATATTAAACGAATTTATAGTTCCTGACAATGTTCAAATACTAGGAGGATAGCTAAGATATATACATGTGTGTCTAATGTAGTAATTAATACACAATTAGATGGACAGAAGTCAATTTCAGCCCCAAAGGTGACAATAGGAAGACCTGTCCTGACCACAAGAGTTCCTGTTCAAACTCCTGAATAGTTTGAATAGAATCTCCAACAGCAAGGAAATTGCAACCAGCCATTTGGAACATTCCCTACGACAAGGAATGCATTGACACTCACAAAGAATGAGCTAGATAACTTTCCTGTTTGGAATTTACAAAAGAGATTTGTTAAAACTTTAAAAAAAATTGTGAGAAGGGACAAAGAAAAAATGAAAAGAAATAGTTTTATGGCATTATTTGAAAGGATTAAAGATCAAGCTTGTTAAAAGAAAAAAGGAATAAATAAATGGCAACGCTTAATGGACTTTTGCTGATCAGAACTGAATGACAAGGCTTTAAGAATTTATAGAAAAGATATGGGATATGATTATTTGTTGTATTTTAAGGGAAGGTGATAAGTCACTTAAATTGTTTGTGCTTACTGTGGTGAAGGGAAAACTCATTTCCTTACATATTTCTTTTCATTTTCTTTACTATATTTTTCTTTCTGTTCTATTTTTATTTTCTGCGCTACTTTTTCATTTATCCTTTAGTTTGCATTAGTTTTTATTTGTTTAATTGTAATTTTTAATGAAATTATTATTTAAAAAAGATATAGCAATGGCTTCTGGACAAAACAACACATGCTTGAATTGAATACATTGCCAAGAAATGCTCTGATAAATCAAATTACTTTAAAAAAAACTGACAAAGAACGAGTCCTTTAAAATGAGTCGATTTAAAATAATAT